TGGTCAGGGCTGCAGCTCATCCCAGAATGCCAAGCTGGGTCTGGTTGGAAAGGACCACTGGAGGTCATCTGGTCCCACCTCCCTGCTCCATCAGGACCAATTCCAGAGCACAGGGCACAAGGGTGTGTCCAGATCATCCTGAAGTATCTCCAGTGAGGAGACTCCACTCCCTCTCTGGACAATCTATTCAGTGTTTGGTCACTGCACAGGGAAAAAGTTCTTCCTCATATCCAGGTGGAACTTCCTGGGCATCAGTTCCTGCCCATTCCTGTTATCCTGTTGCTGGGCCCCCTGGAGCAGAGCGTGGTCTCACTCTGGGCCCTCCCTGCAGACAGAGACAGAGAAGATATCCCCTCAGGAATAAATAAAGTATTGGATATTTGCCTTTTTACAGCCCCTTTTTACATGGAGGAGGATGAAAAAGCAGAAGCTGGAAGGTGTTTTAGCTCCTGTCTTCCTCACTGTGAACAGTTTAAGACCTTTTTATGGGCAGAAATTAGGCAAGATGGAAATACCATTATCTACAAACATTGTGAAATTCAACCAACTTTGGAAAAGATAGGCAGTGTTTCAAAAACTACTTTTAAATGTGAGCTCCATGTCAAAGGAGGAAGTTGGTTGACCTTCAGCAGCACCTTCAAATACAAAGTACTGCTTAGAGGAAGGGTAAACATGATTCAAGCACAAGTAGTTTTTAAAATAGAGGCTGATAAGCTGAACACCACATAAAAATGACTCCATTGTGTGAATAACATTCAAGTGGGTCCAGAAAACAGAAATGATCCGTGCTTCACAAATATTATTACTGCACTTGGCTCCCTCATGGCTCAATGCCCCACTTATAATATACAGCCTTGAAAAACAGCATTTTTATAAAGTGGTTGGTCTGCTGAGCCCTTCTGGTCCTTGCTGTGCTGAGGCAGGAATTGCTCATCACTCAGGGAACCCAACTCGGAACATAAAAGCAACCCCAGCAAATCAAGGCAAGATCCTCCTAATCCTGCTCCTTTGTTTCCAGCAGCAGCATTTTCCCCACAGTGCTTCAGACTCTGGGATCTACAGCTGAAGGACTTTCTGAACCAGACACTGTCACTGCACAGCCAGGAGATTTACAGTTACTCATCACTAATGTTTTTCTCCTCCACAAACTCACCCATGTGCTTTAGAAACTTGTGCCATCCACAATGGATAATATCCCTGCTCCATCTATAATTTTGTGCTCTGTAATTACATGTAGCTAAGCTATTACATAGCAATCCCAACCTGTATGCCAAGGGGTGGAATTCGTAAGCAGGAGGGAATGAGGGAAAAAAAATAAAGGCTTATAAACACCTCTGTGGCAAGATAATCTTATCTCAAAGCCTTTGTTCTTCAAGATTGCTCAGGGAGTTAATGTTTGTGGCTATGAAATATAGATGTGTTTGGAATAAGGGGGGGGGTGGGGGGTAGTAATACTGTTGTTTGCTGGAGGTACAGCTCAGCAGAAGGAATCCAGAGAAGGATCTGGAAGCTCTTTGTACAAGTGCTGCTGGGAATGAGAAGACTTGTCTGGATCAGCTCAGGGAAAGGAGGATTTGATCAGCTTCCGCCTGAAGAGATGCTGGATCAAATTGAGAGATCAAGTCACTGGTCCATCAAACATGGAATTCTGCTTGCCAGCAGTTTGTCACTTTGTCCTTCAGAGGACATCCCACTCCTCCACATTCTCCCAGGGCTCCCCTGAGAAGGGCAGCAATGCACAAGCCTCCCCTGTGGGCAGCTCCTTGTGCTGTCAGAAGTCACCCACCCCCTCAGCCAGAAACAGCAGGAGAACCCGGATGGCCCTCAAGGTCCCTTCCAACTCTAAAAACCCCAATATTCTATGATTCTATCCTTGATTTAGGAGTGGGATTCCCATTACAAGCCCTGCTTTTGAGGCTGCAAAACCCCATCACACCAGGACTCTGCTTGGAGATTTAGAAAGTGTGACATGGGATCAGATTTAACTCCAAATACTTTGCACACACTCTCCAGGCCCTCTAATCCCTCCTGGCTACTCATTGAGAACTCCCTTAAGAACTTCCTGCTTCTTGCAGATTTACTGGATGTTTAAGAAATCAAGCAGTGCCTGGACTGCACCAAACCATGATGTGTTTCTGGATTTCTGCAGTTTGGACCAACTAAGGCTCCTCTTTGGAAGGATTCTTGGCTGGGAAATTTGCAACTTGCTGCCTCCATTCTCCTTGGGATGGACAGGACATTAAAGGTTATCCAGTTCCAACCCCCTGCCATGGGCAAGGACTTCTTCCTCTACCCCAGGCTGCTCCAAGCCCTGTCCAGCCCAGCCTTGGACACTTCAGGGACACAGAGGCAGCCACAACTTTCTTGTCAGGCTGTCAGTGGGAGCTGCAGGGACTTCAAATGAAGAATAATTCCCCAGAAAGGAAAAATGAAAAGGTAGAATTTGCAAGCAAGAAGCACAGCTCTAAAACCTCAGCAGAAATAGCTCTGAAGGACATGGTAAAATGTAGGATTGCATTTGTTACCTCATAGGGAACACTGCTGTGTTTGAGATCCAAAAATGCTGAACCTGGGTTCGTAACCCACCAGACATTCAGCTTCTCTTTATTCAAGAATGTGCTCATTCCAGCACTCTTGACATCTAGAGAATTGTCAAGTTCCCAAACAGCATAAAAAGAAATGTACCCAACTGAGAGTGCCATCCTATTCCAGTTAAAAGAAATGCACCCAACTGAGAGCACCATCCTATTCCAGTTCAATACACCTAATATCAAGAGAATTTTCCCTTTCTAAGGCTATTTTAGTTTTCCCTTGTGGTGACCTGCAGAATCTGGGCGTCAGCCTCACCCCAGTAGGGTCCTTGCTGTGCACATGCAGCTCCACCAGCTTTATTCTCTTCATGACCTCCTACTTAAAAAAAATGTATTGATAGGATGAGTTTTCTTCTCAGAACAGCTACGCCTATCTCCTGCACACAATCAGCCAGCAGGCTCTGTCCTGTGATACGATAAAGGCTGCCCAGGAGTTCGATGAGCAGCTGTGAGTGTGGGTGCTGATAGGAGGGTGGATCTCCAGCTTTGAGGCACAGTGCCACAACTCAGCTGTGCAGATAGCACAAACACGATGATTCCCGCTGTCCCTGTCACAACAAAGAGCCTCTTGGCTGAGCAAATGGTTGTTTCTGCACCTAAGATCAGCCAGGTGGCTCATTCTGCTGGGCTGAAGCCATTTAAGACTTGGTCATATACATGAGGCACTGACCTTGATGGGAAAGGGGGAAATATTTCCTTCTACTGAACCTTTAGGAAACAGTGTAAAACCTAACAGGTCCTGCCCAGCCGCTGTGACCTCAGTAAGGGCAGGAACACTAAAAACCAGAGTCTAAGCAAGGGACTGTGAGTTTTAGCAGCTGTTCATGTACAACAGCCACTGGAAGGATGCAGAGGAAATTTGAAGGATGCAGAGGTGATTTTTAGCAACTCAAAGATCATTTGGGTACTACATCCCTCTCTGATGTCCAGGCAGTCAAGGAGCTGGTGGTACAGCCTAGGAGAAACAATTGCACCTCTGTGATGGAAAGATGGTGACAGGAGCATCTCCCTGGTGAGGAAAGGCTGAGGGAGCTGTGGCTGTTCAGCCTCCAGAGGAGGCACAGCTGAGAGGAGCCCTCAGCCCTGGGTGTCCCTGTGAGCAGGGAGGGTCAGAGCAGGGCCCAGGCTCTGCTCTGGGACCAGCAATGGCACCAGAGGAATGGGCAGGGACTGATCCCAGTGAGTTCCACCTGGACAGGAGGAAGAAATTTCCTGTGCAGGGACAGAGCACTGAACAGATTGTCCAGACAGGCTGTGGAGTCTCCTCACTGGGGATATTCCAGAATTGTCAGGATATAGCCCTGTGCTCTGGCATGACCCTTCTTGAGCAGGGAGCTGGGTCCAGATGACCTCCAGCTGTCCTTTCCAACTGACCCATCCTGGCACTCTGGGAATTAGGGATTCCAGGTTTTGGGGGTTCTGTGACCAGTGCTGTGTTGTACTACAGCTCGGTCAGTGGGTGCTGACCAACAGGAGAGCTGGAGAGGGACTTTGGACAGCAGTATGGAGCGCAAGGAAGAGGGGGAACGGCTTCCCACTGCCAGAGCTCAGGGTTAGATGGGATATTGGGAAGGAATTGTTCCCTGTGAGGGTGGTGAGGCCCTGCCACAGGGTGCCCAGAGAAGCTGCGACTGCCCCATCCCTGTCAGCGCTCCAGGCTAGGCTGGACGAGGCTCGGAGCAATGCGGGACAGGGGAAGGCGTCCCTGCCCATGGCGGGGGTGGGGTGGGGTGAGCGGTAACGCCCCGTGTCCCTCACAGCCCGCACATGGCGGCGCGCCCAGCCCGCCCTCAGCCCCGCCACCGCCGCCCCTCACGGCGCGTGACGTCACGACCGCGTGACGTCACCGCCCAGCCCCCGGGCGAGCGGCCCCGGCTGAGGGACGGGAGCGCGGCGGGAGCGCGGTGAGCGCGGGCCGGACCGGACCGGGCCGGGCCGGGCCGGGCCGGGGCTGCGGGGCTCTGGGGGACTGAATCTGGGTGATGAGGGATCGCGGAGCCGCCTCGCTCCCGGCGCGACCGAATGAATGGGGTGGGGGAGGGATGTCTTTCCCCGGCACCGCTCGGTCCGGACCGGTTCGGTGCTGGCGGCGCTTTGGTTCGTGCCCGTCACCCGCACCGGCCCCGTGGCTTCAGCAGTGCCGGGTGAAGCGGCAGGGCATCGGGGAATGCTTTGCGGTGGAAGGGACTTTAAAGATCCTCCCGTTCCAACCCGTGCCGTGAGCAGGGACACCTTCCACTATCCCGGGTTGCTCCCAGTCCCGTCCAGCCTGGCCTTGGACACTTCCAGGGGTCCAGGGGCATCCACAGGTTCTCTGCAGGCTGTGCCAGTGCTCTCCATGCTCACAGCCAAGCATTCCTTCCCAATAGCCCATCTAAACCTACGGGGTTTCTATGTTTAAAGCCGCTACTCCTTGTCCTGTCCCTCCATCCCAAGTCCCTCTCCAGCTCTCCTGGAGCTCCTTTAGGCACTGGAAGGGGCTCTGAGGTTTCCCTGGATCCTTCTCTTCTCCAGATGAACACCCCCAGCTCTCCCAGCCTGGCTCCAGTGCAGAGGGGCTCCAGAGCATCTCTCTGGCCTCCTCTGGGCTTGCTCCAGCAGCCCCACTCCTTCTGCTGTTGGATCGCAGATCTGGGGACAGCTCTGCAGGTGGGGTCTCACCTGAGAGTGCCAGAGTGGCAGAATCCCCCCCTCCCCTGCTTCCCACTCTGCCCAGGATACATTGGATGTTCTGGACCAATCTTCCTTACTATTCCAGGAGTTTCACGCCATTCAGCAGCTGCATAATCTCCCTTTTTTTTTTTTTGTTTATTTTTGGTGGCTGAGGCCAGGTTTCCAGCAGGTCCCTCACAGCTCAGGCTGACGTCTCCTCTTGGCGGGCTCCACGAGGGGCTCGGCCTCATCCCCGGCCGTGCGTCACCCCTGGACAGGAGCCGTGTGTGTGTGTCAAGGTTATTCCAGCTGAGCTTGGCCAACAGCTCCCTGCCAGAGGGAACAGCTCCAGCCTGGACACCCTGGCACATCCCCCCTGCCAGAGGACACCGGCAGGGACGCAGCGTCCCGGCTTGGGGGGTTCTCAGAAGCAGAGGAATTGCCAGCAGGGAATGTGAGAGGCATTTGTGTCCTGCTATCCAGGCAGCAGCAGCTGGGGCTGAGCTGAGAGTATCCCTTAGTTGTTGCAGCTTGAGTGCTCCCAAATGCAGGGATCTGATGGAGTTTCTACTTGGCAGCCCTTGGGCACCACAGAGGCTTTTCCATGGGCAAAATGGCTTGTGCTTCATCTTCTGGATGTCCAAGGAAGGTGCTGTCTTTCTCCTCAAGCTCTTGATACAGTTGGGAAAATTAGAGGAGCTTCCCAATGCATAAGCAAATCTGCAGGTCTGAACAGAAACTGTGGGGTTTGGAGCCAGCTGGGAGTTGAGAATTTGGAGCTCATTGTGTTGGTGTGGACCATGTTCCTGAGGATGTGGCTGGGAATCTGCGAGATCCTGTGCCCTGCAGAGTCTTTTATTTTTCTTTAAAAGAAGAAAGTTCTGGATTCTTTGGTTTAGCTCCCTGGAGGAGCATCCTGTGGCATCCCAGCAGCTGTGCAGCCCCATAAATCCTGTGGCAGCTCTGGGGTTTGGTTTGACCTCTCTTTCCTCCCTCTCCCATTTTCTTTGAGGCTTGCAGTGGGACTTTCCAGACAAAGCCCATGACTTTCTTATCTTTCTTACCACCGTGACATTCTATTAATAACTAATTTACAAGAGCTGCTGGTTTCCATAAACATTTTTGACTTTTATGTGAGCAACAGGTGTTGCTGCTTATGTAACACCTTGGAAACCCCACAGAACATCAGCAGCTGGCAGTTCACTCACTAAATGTCATTTTATGACTGTCTTTTTTTTTTCTTTATTCCCAATTTTCCTTCTCCCAGTGCTTTAATCTTCTTACAAACCCCAGAAATTTCCTGCTATCCCAGGCAGATTATTGTTCATCGGAACACGTGTTTGCTTTCTGCTAATCTTTTGGACTGCCACTAATTAATTTAAACTCTGTCCTTCAGCCATGACCCAAGGCTGGCTGGTTCTGGGACTTGGAGGAGCTGCTTGTGCAGCTTCAGAGCCCTTTCCCTGTCTATCCCAAACTTCCAGGCATTTCAAAATCAAGCAGGAGAGAACAGTGAAATCCCTGGCTGCTGCTGCTCTCACACACACTTTTTTTAGTTTGGATTTTTTTTTTTTTTTTCTTAAGGTGTGGGACAACTCCTACTCTCTGCCAGGTTTTGATTGGCTTTCCAAAGAGGCAGTGTCCTATAAATTGCCTTCTCTGCTCTGCTTCTGCCTTATCATCAGCTGAGACCCAGGTGAGTACAGGAGAGGGAAAATTCCAGCTGCATTTCCATTGCTTAATCTATTAGCTTTGGTTATTGGTTTAAAATACTGGGGTAGGGGAAATAACTTTGATGTTTCAGGATAAAACTTCCTCATTTTGCTGACACTTTCTAATATCAGTTTGAGTTGATAAATGAGATCAGGGACTGAGAAACTATTCAGAAAGGGATGTGGGAAGGGATTTGAAAATATATTGTGGAATCATGGAATGGTTTGGGTTGGAAGGGACCTTAAAGCTCATCCTGTTTCATGGGCAAGGACATTTTCTGCTATAAATTATATCTATATATTATTTGGGTAATTTTTTTCTCTTTAGTTCCCAACAGAACAGAAATATTCCCCTTTGGGATAGTAAAAAGGGAAGCCTATAAAAATATAAGTTATTTTACATCAGTTAAATTAATTTTGTGTGTGTTTTTGTTCAGAGGTGTTAGTAACTCCTGGAAGTTATTTAAGATGGAAAACTTGGATCAAGGAGAATGGGCTTTCCTGTATGAGTTGCTTTTGCAAGTTAATCACTGTGTGGGGATGACTTCAGGTATTTGGGGAAGTATTTTTAAGGCATAATATTGATTTCTTTATATATCTGTGCATTTAGGGCAACTTTAGTAGCCAGTCACATCTGGGTTTTCCCCCTTTGGATTTGAAATAGAAATAAATGCCATCAGTGGAGGTTTTTGCAGCAGCTCTGCTGCCTGGCTGTTTCAGTGACTGGTGTAAAATGCATTTAATGTTCTGAGTCAGACCTGGGAGTAAATTCTCAGCTTTAAGACTTTGTGGTTTCACTCTAGGTATGTTCAGAAAAACCAGTCCAGTCATTGGGAAACCAATTTTAGTCACAGCCAACTTTTGCTTGTACTTTGCAAAGCTCAAAATGCCTTTTCAGGTACTTGGAGTGGAAATTTTTTGTCACACAGACCAGTGAGTCTCTCTCAGTGCTGGAAGATTTTATTCTTTGATGCTGAAATAGGAAGGGGTTATCGTGAGAACTGGTGTCTGAGTCTGTGTCCAGATGGAATTTGGATATTTCCAAGGATGGGTATTCCCATCACCTCTCTGGGCATCTCAGACCAAATCTTTTTGATCAGTTTGAATGTATTTTTTTAATAATGCAATTTTATGGGGCTGTCTTATTAGACAATAAGCACTTTAGCAAATCTGTATTTAAATAGCAGAACTCCCTCAAGTACCAGAACACTTTCAGTCGGGTGACCTGAGAAGTGAAAGGAATACCCACATTAATCACCTGTTTGCTTTTCTCTGCAACTGGAGTTCATCTGCAGCAATGAACTGCTGCAATTTCTTGTGGAGAGCTTCCATCTACCTGAGTCTCCTTTTTATATATGCCCCAATAAAGGATTTGACAGGGTAACCTCATCAGGCAAGTTTGATATATGCTTTCATCTGGGAATTTACATATTCTAGATCTTTGGGAAACACTTAAAAATTGTTCAGAGGGGGTAAGGAAAAAATGAATGGTTGTGCCTTGCGGATTTTATTTGAGAGTATTAAATTTGCACCACAGAAATGGCCACTTGTGGCTGCAGGTGTCATTTATTTGGGGTACTTTGCATTTCCTTCTGCAATAGGAAGGATTTGCAGAGAAAGAACCCAAACTTGAATGCAGCACAGAGTAAATTATAATTATGTGAAATAATTAGGACATTTTCCTGAGGCCTGGCTAAGCCCTGCCACTCCTCTGTTTGCTTTCTGGGTACCATCTTTCCTGAGTGTTAAATCAGAGTAAATCTCCCTTTTTTCCAAGTTATTTCCTGCTGCCTCCTTGGCTCATCTGCTCTTGCTGATGCAATCCTGAGGAGTTTTGCTTATTCACAGCAGCCTGTAAAACTTTCACTCCAAATGTGGCATCACAGCAGCTTTGTTTTATTCTATATTTATGCTTAAAATCACAGTTTTGAACAAAGTTTTAAAAAAAGTTTAAACTTAAGCTTTACAGTGTTCTCCCTGTCCATTTTTCTGGACTGTGGATATTTTCCTGAGCTCACTCCAGGGAATACATTACCTCTGCTCATGTTACATCCCAGGCTGCTTTCAGCCCTTGTCTGGCATCAAATTCCTCTGGATCCCTGAAGAATTTTCTGGGGGAACGTTTTAAAAGCAGTTTAATGGGGTTGAATCACTCCTGACTCATCTTTTGTCTCTCTCCTGGCAGCACACCTGAAGGGGGAAGATGCCAGTCATCAGGAACCTGGGCAGAGCTGCCAGCCAGCTGCTGCAGAGCTCTGGCTGTGGCTGTGGCGTGTCCCTCGTGCCCGCCCGGGCCATCGGGGTGTCCCCACGCCAGGTGGCCTCCGACGCCAGCTTCCACTCGGTGACGTTCTCCGAGTCGGATCATCCCCGGGTGCTAATCACAGGTCAGCACTCCTGGCACAGCTGGGTTCCTGCTTCTCAGCTGAGCTTTCCCACTGCTCTCCTCCCTCCCCAGATTGCACAGTTCTGGAAGCAAAAATACCCCAAATATCCTGGAATTGGGATGATCTTTCCCATCGGGCAGTAAGATCAGTGTCCCTTGTGAACTTTCCTATTTTAATTCCAGGATTCTTCTAAGACCAGTGTCTTGAGAAAAAAAATGTACAAGCTTCCTGACTCGCTGAGAAAATCATGCTAATTCTTGATATGATACAGATAATAATGGAATTCTGCATTGTGACTCCCCCTTTTCCTCTGATTTTTGTCTCTTAGGTGGTCTTGGCCAGCTTGGGGTGGGACTTGCAAAGCTGCTGAGGTGGGTCACCATTCCCTGGCTTGCATTGAGTGAGGCATTCCAGCTTTAGCCATCACTTCCAGAAGAAATAGTTGTCTGGAAAGTTGTTTATAAAAGAAATCCTATGTTACAAATGCTGGTTTTGCCTCTTGGCTTTGTAAATAACATTAATGGCTGGACTTGATGATCTTAAAGGTCTTTTCCTTAATGATTCTTAATGATTCTATAATTAAATTTTCTCCATCATTTTGTTTGTCCCTCCGGTGCTTGCTGTGGGGTTCTGACGTATTTTCTTTATGTCCATTGGTCACAATTCCCAAAACAGCAGGATTTTGTCTGAGTTGTTTGCTTCCAGTTAAATGGGAGTATTCAGAGTCTGAACTCTCAGAGTTTTCCTTCTTTTTCCTTCTCCTCTTCCCCCACCTCAAGCACAGTTACCTCCTTTTTTATGACATCTTTTCAAGAAGTGTGAAATGCTCCAAGAGCTCTCCCTGATCCATGTCCCTGTCCATATCCAGCTCAGTTTATCATTTGTTCACAGTCTTTGCTGGAGGGAATTTAGACCAAGACTAAAAGTGAGCGGACTCGCTGCACTCAACACTGTGGCAGTTTGAACATTTTCTGCTATTTCTATGATATATTTTAAAATTATCCAAATAATGGGAGGCCAGAATGTACTTCAGTACCACCAGATCTGCTCTGATTAGCACAAGGTCACAATTTCTCTCTTCTATTTTCTTCCTTGATATAAAAGTAGCTGCAGTTACAACAATCCCAGTGTGTTTTTTTTGTCTGCAGGGGAGTAAACTATCCCTGGGTATAATTTTTACTAAGGAAAGGGTAGGAAAGTCTCTTTTCCTGACATATTTTGTCTTTCTAAAAATATTCTCTATCCTTATGCAGACCTTGACTGCTACTGGAAGTATTTGATAACTTTTTAAGATGCTGTGTTGATATTTAAAGGATTGTTGGGTTTTTTTTTTTGTTTAGTGCAGTAACTGATTTTATTGTGGAAAATATTGTTCCTCTGCTATCGCTTCTGCAAAACAAAATAGCAACTGATGGATTATCTCAAAAAGCTGTGGACTCACTGTTCCCTGTGGGTATTTTTACGCAGGAAACGCTTTGGAAAGAACAATGTGATCTTGTCTGACATTAGAAAGCCTGCAGATAATGTTTTTTATAGTGGTAAGTGACTGGGGAAGCACATGGAAAAAAAAAAAAATAAACCTTGACTTTACCTCTGATGTTCATAAACTAATTATCAAAGTGATAAGTGGATTACACTGACAAGCTGCTGTTCAGACCTTCTGCATAATGCCTCCCTGCTTTCAAATCTTGCCAAAATGTTGGTTTCTTCTCTTTGTGTTTTTTGCACTGCTGCTGTGCCACTTTCCAGACTCCAGTAACTACTTGAGGCACCTTGTGCTCCTGCTGTAAAAAGAGGTGCTTTTATTCTTTTGGAGGGAGGAAGTTGGAAATGAAACTTGTGCTTTGTTTTTACATACTCAAGGAATTTTTATAATGAGGTGGATGTAGAGTAGGATTTAAGACTCTTTGATTTTCACTAAAAACTTGCGAAAATTTTACTTCAACATTGCTGTTTAGTGATGTATTTAGGTTATAGAAACAGCAGCCTGAGCTTCATGCAGAACCTTCCTTCCATCCATTCCTGATATCCAATTCCCCACTGCTTCCATCTCCTCCAGGTCCTTTCATCTTCGCGGATATCTTGGACTACAAGAACCTGCGGGAGATCGTGGTGAACAACCGCATCACGTGGCTGTTCCACTACAGCGCCCTGCTCAGCGCCGTGGGAGAGGCCAACGTGCCCCTGGCCAGAGCTGTCAACATCACTGGTGTGTGCTGGCTTTTCAGTGCTCAAAGCTGTGTCAGGGCAGGTTTGGGTTGGAGATCAGGGAAAGGTTCTTCCCCAGAGGGTGTCGGGCACTGGAACAGCTCCCCAGGGAATGGTGACATTCCCAAGGCTGCCAGAGCTCCAGGAGTGTTTGGACAATGCTCTCAGGGATGCACAGGGTGGGATTGTGGTGGGTCTGTGCAGGGTCAGGGGTTGGACTGGATGATCTTGATGGGTGTCTTCCAGCTGAGAATATTCTATAATTCTCATAATGGCTTGTGAAAGCAGAAGTATTCTGATAAATCCTGTTGTTTTGTGGCTTTTTCCCAGGTTTACACAATGTTCTGGATATTGCAGCTGAGCATAATTTAAGGCTTTTTGTTCCAAGCACCATTGGAGCCTTTGGACCCACCTCTCCTCGAGATCCAACTCCTGATCTTTGCATTCAGAGACCAAGGACAATCTATGGAGTCTCCAAGGTCCATGCTGAGCTCATGGGAGAAGTAAGAATTTTTTATTTTATTCATTTCCTAAAAGGTCTGGTAGAATTTCACTGAAATAGGTTTCCCAAAGAAGCTGTGGCTGCCCCTGGATCCCTGGAAGTGTCCAAGGCCAGGCTGGACAGGGCTTGGAGCAAACTGGGATAGTGGAAAGCATCCTTGTCCTTGGCAGGAGTTGGAATGTTCTTTAAAGTCTCTTCCAACCCAAGCCCTTCTATGATTAGAACTTCATTGCTTTCGTAAGATTCCTCACTCATTCTTGCCCCCATTTTTCCTTCCTTCAGACTTTACTACTCAGCAATAGTCTGAGGCAGTTCTGAAGGTCAAATATCCTTTGAGTTTTGTTGGGAAAAGCACAAAGCATGGGAAGCTGACAAACAGCTGACTTTCAGTGTCATTTCTTTCCCTGTTTTTTATGGCTTTGGCCTCTGTGCCAATGTGAATGGCACTGCAGAAAGGACAGTGCACAAAGCCTTGTGACAGCAGGTACACAATGATGAATTTTTATTCCTCCTCTACAAAAAAAGACTTTAAAGTCAAAGTCTTGGGAGTCTGGACATGCAAAACTTCTCTTTTGGCTTTGTAGTTATTTATAAACAACATTTTTAAACCTGTTATTTTTATACAGTTTCCTCATGTAGGTCTGAGGACAGTATTATCCTGGGAAATCTCATAAACTTGGGAATGTTCAGTTTCTGAACATTGTAGACCCTATATAAGTAGCATGACAATCCATGTCAAAGATCAAAGACCTACCGATGTGGATGTGAGCTGGAAAAGGGCAAGCAGGGAGATCAGCTGCCAGGCAGGCAATGGGGATTGTTCAGTAATTCCTTTCCTTTCATCCCTGTCCTGGGACAGCTGAAGGTTCATCCTGTGTCAGATTTTTCCTGTGAAACCAGTGGGTGTGTCACCGACTCTTGGTGTGTAACTCTGTGTTTCTGCCCCCCTCCCCAGTACTACCACTACCGCTATGGCCTGGACTTCCGCTGCCTCAGGTATCCAGGGATTATCTCTGCTGATTCCCAGCCTGGAGGGGGAACAACTGGTGAGTGACTGGTGCATGACAAGAGGGCTGGGGAGGACTTTTCACAAGGATATGGAATGACAGGACAAGGGGGAATGGCTTCTCACTGCCCAAGGGCAGGGATGGATGGGATATTGGGAAGAAATTCTTCCCTGTGAAGGTGGTGAGCCCCTGGCACAGGTTGCCCAGAGAAGCTGTGGCTGCCCCATCCCTGGAAGTGCCCAAGGTTGGAGGACTTGGAGCAACCTGGGATAGTGAGACATTCCTTCCCAAGGCAGGGGATTGGAACTGGATGGTCTTTAAGCTCCCTTCCAACCCAAACCACTCTGTGATTTCATGATGAATATCACACAGTTCTGCTGCCAAGTTTGAGACAGGAGACTTTGGGGTTGGTCTGAGGTTTGTTGACTGTCACGAAGTGCACAACACAGATGATACACATCCATTATTCTCTTCCCCAGATTATGCTGTTCAGATTTTCCATGATGCCATAAAGACTGGCAAATTCAAGTGTTACCTGAGGCCGGACACCCGGCTGCCCATGATGTACATCGATGACTGCCTGAAGGCCACGCTGGAGGTCATGGAGGCCCCTGCAGAAACCCTGACCATGAGGACCTACAACATCAGTGCCATGAGCTTCACTCCTGAGGAGCTGGCCCAGGAGGTACAGAAGTATGTCCCTGAGCTCCAGATGACCTACAATGTGGATCAAGTCAGGCAGGCCATAGGTTAGTATCTTCCCTGGCAGCAGGTAAGAAAAAAAAACATCATTGGGATGAAATAAAGTCTCCTTTTTGGGAACTGACAAATTTCTCCTGTGCAGTTCAAGTCTTAGAGTTCAAAATTCATCTTTAGTAGTGATGAAACATCTCAAAGTTCAGAGAGATTTTTCCTAAGCCTCACCTTTCTTGGTTCTTTTTCTTTTTTTTTTCCTACAGCTGACAGCTGGCCCATGAACTTCGATGACAGCAACGCCCGCAGGGACTGGGGTTGGAAACACGATTATGACCTCCCCGAGCTGGTGACCACAATGTTTAGCTACCTTGGGTCTGACTCTAGGATTGCCCAAGCTAACTGAAATGCTTTCAGATGTTTCCAGATTTCCACAGAGGACCAGGAAGAAATGGCCGAATGTTAGTTTCTAATTTTCTGAGTCTTAAAGCACATCAGTTACTAATTTTTGTTAGTAGTGACAGTGTTGGGCAGAAATGTCCTGTAGCTGGGATGTCCTTTAGATAAACAACAGCACTGGGTGCTGTCCCCAAACACAGCACTGCTGACAGAGTTCTTGAACTTTCACACTTAGGGAAAAACACAAAAATTACTTACTCCTGGCCTATGGCTCTCCAGTCATTCCTGCCTCTTCCTTGGCAAACAACGTGGGATAGCATTGTCCAACCTGGCCTTTCAGGCATATCCTGAAAAGTTAACAATAGGTTTTGCTTCTTCCTGGTGAAGGATGTTAGGTTGTAGCAAGATCCTTTTTACTCTTTATTTGCAAAAGAGACTTCAGAAGAGCTGTTTCATGTTTCCAAATTGCAGGGGGCTGTTGCAATTTAGTTTAAAATCAAACTTTGCTCGATAACTCCTATTTATATCTCTTTAGCGCTGTCTAAGCATACACTTTTCTATACCTAGGCCATGCAGAGTAGCATTCTTATGATGCTGCTTATAAATGTGAAGTGGAATAGGACTTGAATTTTCATTATGCTTTAAAAAAACCAGAGTTTACAAGCAAAGCTTTGTCCTGTTATCTGCAAGTGCTGCTGCCTTCAGTGCAACCTCGGAAGGAGAGCCGAAATCTGAAGAGCTGTTCCATGGATGTGAGGCTCGGTAGGATTTCAGGGAGGCCAAGCCTCTGGCTGTGGTTTTTAGCTGTACTTTTGGTTCTCCCAGTTGTTTGGAGTCCCTGCACAGTGTCACATTGCCTGGAACAAGTTTGAAAGGTGGGCTGAGGATGGAGCCTTACTGTAGAGTCAGGTCAGCCTTGGAAATATTTCCTGTTCACCCCATTTTCCACGTGCACTGTGTAGATGCTGTTTATATGTAACTCATACCCTTTTATTCTTCAGAGAGGGATCCAGAAGCTGAAACCATCTTCTAGCTACAGCTAAGGGCTGTTCTCCTTGTTGAGTTTCATGCACAGGAGATTCTGGGATGCACAAGGGAGTTTTAGTAAATATGTGAGAGGAAGAGGTGTCAGTTCAAAAGTTACTTGGGACACTTCAGGAAATGACAAAATGGAGAGACAGGAATGTCATTGTAGGTAAAATACCAGTTTCCATGGATGTGAGTCTGAGCTATCAGCTACTCTAGCTGAGAAACAGCCTCTGGGAGCTTTGGATTTTATTTTTTTCAAAGAAAAAAATACCTTTCATTTTCAAAATGACTGGAAATTCCCTACGGAAGCTCTCCTTTTTTCTTTTTTTTTTTTTTTTTTTTTTTTTTACTCCATTTTTTTTTTTTTGTTTGCACATTCAAGTTTTTTTTTTTTTTTTT